CAGCCCCCCTGCCATGTCGCCTTCCCCCAGCGGTGTCCCCCCTCCTCCCTTTGCCACTGAATTGCTTTCCCACTTGGAGCACCTCATTAGCTCAAACTTCAGAAAGGATCTGGAGAGTGATCCTTTCACCCTCCTCTGGTCTCAGCACCACCAGGCTCTCCTGGGAACAGCCTCAGGGCTCCTCAGCCTCGGCACTGCTGATGCTTTGGGCCGGATCAGTCTCTGCTCTAGGGGGGCTGTCCTGAGCATTGTTGGATGTTTAACAGTGTCCCTGGCCTCTAACCACCAGGAGCCCCACCCCCCACCCCCCAGCTGTGACAGCCAAGCGTGTCTCCAGACATTACAGATGTTCTCTGGGCGGAAGAGTTGCCCCCAGTTGAGAACCACTGGGCTACCTCGTCACCCTACCCTGCTCAACAGCCAGATGATGCTTTTAACGTGACCCCCGCTCAGAGACCTGCAAGAGCTCCTGTCACTCAGGACAGACTCTCAGGTCCTTCCCTGGTGCTTTTTCTCTGAGGCTCGAGACGCCTGGCCTCGCCTCCTGTTCCTTGCTGCTCTATCGCAGCCCTGCTGGCCTCCAGGGTCGTCAGGGCGGCTCTTCTGTCTGCTTGGAAAGCTCACTCCCTTAATACACTCAGATCTCTGGTCACATGTCACCTTGGAGCGGGCTTTCCTGGTCACCCTCTCAAAATAAATAACTTGCTCCCCTCCCGTTTCCAGCCTCTCCCCCACACACCCTGGGTAGTGCCTTGGTTTTCTGTATGGCACATAGCACCACCTGACGTGTGTGTGTGTGTGTGTGTGTGTGTGCGCGCGCGCGCGCGCGCACACGCGCACGCACGTGCCTGTCTGTCTTTTTCTCTGCTGCACTAGAATGGAGGCTGAGTCAGAGCGGGACTTATCTCACCAGTGCCTGTCCTTCCTGAAGCCTGGTTCTCTTCCTCCAGAGCAGGTGCAGGAATCCTCGCCATGTGGGGCAGGTGTGTTGTTTGCTCCTCCTGTTTCCAGAGGAGGCGGTGGAAGCAAAGGATGTGGGTTCTCGGATTCCACCAGGCATGCCCCGCAGACATGTCACAAAAGCGTCCAGGTACAGGGAGTTATACCCAATCTCTTGTAATAACCTGTAACGGAATATAATCTGCAAAGAACCCACAAAAACAAATCGCTGTGCTGTGTACACTTGAAACTAACACAGTATTGTAAATCAACTATACGTCAATTTAAAAAGTCTCCAAAGTAATGCATGTTCGTTTTTAAAACCACCTGTAGCCCCTCTTCACTCAGACACTTTAACATCTTGGTGTGTTACCTTTCTTGTCTTGCTTTTTTTTGTTATTCAGAAACCTCTGATAGCTACAGCTCTCCCTCAAGAAATGTTAAACAATAGTTCACCACCTCAGAGGTTGTTCAGAATTCTAGAACCAATAATGACAGTTAAAATCTATCCACCTTCCACCTCAGATCCCTCGCTGGTAACAATTTTTTAAAAACTGCGTCCAGGGTGCGCCTAACAAAAAACGTGGCTCTGTTTCACGACTTAGTTTCACTTTACAATCTGGTGTTTTCCTAGAGCAGGCACAGCGCCCTCTGGTGTTAGCCTCCAGTGTCTGGTGCCTGATCTCTCAAGGGTGGGAGGAGCAGAGGAGGGCCGACTGCTGAGACCCGGTGGTGTCTCCCACCTGGCGGCCTCGGCGGGCACTCAGGGCCCTGATGACATCCACAGGCAGAGGCCACCACAGCCGCCTGCCATGTGCCCCAGAAATGAATAGAGCAGTTGTTGCTTTTATAACCAGGAAAAGAATTACTGTCTTTCAGAGGGTGTGGACCTGCCAGAAATGTGTTTTACTCTGTCCCTATCTCTACTGCTCTGGGGAGGGAGGAGCTTTTTCTGTGGTTAAGCGAATGGACTCGAGCTAGACTGCCTGAGTTGAAGTCCCAGCGGTACCACTGAGGAGCCGTGTGGCCATGAACACATGACTTATTTTCTCTTTGTCTCAGTTTACTTATCTGTAAAGACAGTGACAGTATATGCTTCTTCCGTGGAGTCGTGGAGGCTTTCTCAGGTTAAAACATGTGAAGCGCTAGAAAACTGCATGGAGTGTAACACAACACCAGCCGTGCTGTCGCTGTGAGGAGAGGCTTCCCGAGCAGGGGTTCTGAAAGCCTTCGAGATGCAGGGAGCACGTGTCCGGAACAGGGAGAGGCGAGGAGGAAGGACGTGGGTAAGCGCTGTTCCGTGGGAGATGCTCGGCTGGAGCGGCTGGCGGATGTGGAGAGAGCAGTGCCCAGTGTGGTGGGACATGGGCACCTGGGAGGGAAACTTGTGAAAGAGCATGGAGAGGCTTGCAAGTCATCCTTGCCCTCCCAGGCATCTTGTTCTCATTTTCTGGAATTCCCCAGGAAAACAAGTGTAGCCAGAGGGACTTCCCTGGTGGCGCAGTGGTTAAGAATCCGCCTGCCAATGCAGGGGACATGGGTTCTACCCCTGTCCGGGAAGATCCCACATGCCGCGGAGCAACTAAGCCCCTGCGCCACAACTACTGAGCCTGCACTCTAGAGCCCGCGAACCGCAACTACTGAGCTCACGTGCTACAACTACTGAAGCCCACGCGCCTAGAGCCCGTGCTCCGCAATGAGAGAGGCCACCACAATGAGAAGCCCGTGCATCGCAATGAAGAGTAGCCCCCACTCGCCGCGACTAGAGAAAGTCCGCACGCAGCAACAAAGACCCAATGCAGCCAAAATAAATTAATTAATAAATTAAAAGAAAACGAAATGTAGCCAGAATAGTGGCCCCTGCACCCCTCTCTCCTCCCTGCCCCACCGCTCTGCTCTACACTGTCATTGTCATTGTCATTGTGCGAGGTCAGAAGAGCCTGGAGACCCAGCTTCACTGTGGAAGGGAGTCAGACTCGGGCAAGAGGCCAGGCGCAGGTCAGGAGAGCCACATCCGGGGACACGCTGGCTCACCGGGCCCCCTCCTGGGAACTCGGGGACCTGTCTGCTCCACAGCCTCGCAGAGGTTCTACAGAGGGAGGAAGGAGAAAACCCACCCCTGTCCTTGCCGTGACAGCTTTCACTGGCTCTGTTGTTCCTGCTTCGGCCTCAGAGCAGGGGCCTTAGTTTCCCGTACCCCCTCGGGGGCAGCGAGGCTGGGCCGTGTCCCATCAAAGACTGCACTGATTTAGGGTCTGCGCTTGGGCCACTCCCTTCCTTTCCTGGCAGCTCTCTCGGGGACTGACACAGACGCCAAGGTTGGGATGATGTGCAGACTCAACTTGGGTCTCTCCTTAGGGTCCCTGAGCCCGTGAGGCAGCCTGTGCCCACAGCCGCAGCTGCTCCAAGCATGGCGTCACCTCCCGCCCCATGCAGCACTGTCCCTCTCCCAGTGGATTTCCCCTCACTGCAACTTCTGGTTTCTATGGCAACTTGGAAAGACCTGCAGTTGTGGCTTTTTGAAGTCTAAAATGAGAGCAGAGGTTTGAGATAGAGTGGGACAGCACTGAAAATACCATGTCCCACCCAGGGATTTGGGCCCAGAGGGTTACAGGATGGGAGGTTCTTTGAATTAGAAAAATGGCACTGTCATCCCAGCACACCCTTAGCAGAGTTCCACGTGGCCCCTTGCAGCCTCCTGGGATCTTGGATCCTGAGCTCAGGGTCTTCAGCCTGCGCCTAGAGGGCAGCGGAGGCAGGTGGAGTGATCACAGCACTTAGCATTGGGTGAGCCCTTACTGTGGGCCAGGTGCCTGGTGGCTGTCTGTGCTTTCACTGCCTCGTTAATCCTCTGAGCCACTCACCCCACCGTTTACACGAGCGCTTCGCGAGGCTGCTTTGCAAGGCTGCAGCGCCAGCGCAGGTGAGTGTCCGGTGTGCTTAACACCGGGGCTCCCTCTCATCTGGAACACGGGCTTGTGTCCCTGTAGGAGCATCTCTGTCACCTGTTGACGACGGGCCCATTGCTTCCCCTTTACTTTTTTTTAAAAGTCACATCCCACTAATAGCAGGGTTTGCTTTAGTCGTTGCCAGGATTTCGGTGCCCTTAAGCGCGTGTCTCCCTTCTCAGTTCTCCTCTCGTGAGGTCACCGTTCCAGGCCCCACGTTCTGCGGTGGAGTGATCTTGAGTGTTCAGTTGGGTGTTTGAGGGAACAGCTCTTCCATCCCCCTAGTTTGGGGTCTTGGAGGTGCCTGAGCCAGGGAGGTGGGCAGTCACACAGAGATGCACCGGTTCCCAGGACTCAGTGAAGAACCACAGAGGAGCGGCCCCAGGTTTGGGGAGCCAGCAAGGAAGATGCACTGGCCCAGTGGAGAAGCGTCTCCCGCCTGGGCTGCTGTGGGGCATCCGGTGCCCGGCAGGGGGAGGGGCTTTGTCGTGGAGGGATGGGTCAGTGCTTGCTGCGCAGTTGGCCAGGCTCCAGAAGCCGGCGTCCCGAGAGTCGAGAGTCGGATACTCAGCAGCTTGCAGTCCTCTGCGGGGCAGTCGATAAGGAGCAGGCTGTGACTGGCCGGGCAGGATGGCCCAGATTAGAAGGTGGTGAGGCTGATAGCGGCTTCAGAGTGACCCTCGGCCCAGTGTCACACTCCTCCTCCAACCCACCCTGCTCATCACTCGGCAGCCGGGGTGCAGGGCAGGCAGAAGCTGGAAAAAGGATTCCACTCACAGCAAAATGTTTGGCTCTCTGCAGAATGGGCTGTTAAATCTTTAATTTAAAATGAGGTCTTATGTGGCCTGTCACGTAGCCGCACTTTTCAGCGTGATCAGAGTTACCGCTGGTGAGCACGGTGTTTGCCTTTGGTGCGGGAGGTCGCACCTGGCGTGCTGTCTCCTGATCTGGGTGCTGTTGGAGGGGCGCGTGGGATTTGGCAAAGCCGAGCTCTGGGCTTAGGGTTTGTGCGCTTAGCTATACGTATGCTACACTTCACTAAGGTAGGGAGGAGACTGTACCCTGTAGGTGATTTTGGGGGCCGTGCTCTGACACCTGTGCTCTCTGTTCCAGTTGAAACTAGAGGACCGCTCCGTGGTGCCCCGGGATGTGGTCCGGCACATGCGCTCCACTGTGAGTCCCACGTCCCACTCGGTGGGGCAGGGTTGGGGGCGGGGGTGGCCTGGGGCATGTCCCGGCCGGGTCTGCCGGGTGGCCCCGCGGAGCACCTGCCGGGACCTGGATGCCTTCTCCCCCACAGGACAGCCAGTGTGGCACGGTGATCGACGTGAACATCGACTGTGCCGTGAAGCTCATTGGCACCAACTGTATCGTCTACCCCGTCAACAGCAAGGACCTGCAGCACATCTGGGTGAGCCCCGCCCCGCCTGCCGCCCCTCCTGACCTCCCATCTCTGGGCTCTGGTTCTCTCCGCGGCACCTTCGCAGGCCGGGCGGCCAAGCCCAGCAGTCAGCTCGCTCCCTGCAGCCTGACCATGCTTCTTGTGAGTCAGCCATTCAGACGCGAGGTCAGGACACAGCTTTACGTCTCCAGCAGAGACTGCTGGTTTCCCTTCTCCTCTAATGCTTTTTTTGAAACAAATTTCTTTTCAGTTTACTTTTTTAATGATTTCAAACTTACTGAAGAGTTGTAGGTACCTTTATCCCCTGCAACATCCAGGTTCCTCAGCTGGTGATGTTTCGCTGCATTAGCTCCAGTGCCTTTCCTCCCTCCTTCCCCACCTCTCTGTACTCTGTCGCTCTCTCTTTCTCACTCCCCACCCCCGCTGCCTTCTCTCCCTCTCTCTCTCCCCCCTCCCCTTTTCTGAAACATTTGAAAGCAAACTACAGGTATGATGCTATATAACCCCTAAATACTACAATGTGTATTTCCCCAAAACAGGAACACTTTGCTGTTTAACCACCATTCAAAGCCCCAAATGAGGACTTTGACCCAATACTGTCCAATCCACAGACCTCATTCAGTTGTCCCAACAATCTCCTTTTTCCCCTCTGACCCAGGATTCCATCAGGAGCACACACAAGAATTGTCAGCTCTTTGATCTCCCCCAGTCTGGAGAGGTTCCCCAGTCTTGCTTTGTCTTCCTTATCCCGGGTGACCCTGAGCGTGGGGCCATCTGACGGTGCCCGCAACCAGCCTGGGGCCCTGCGTTCTTGGCAGAACTGCTCCGGAAGTGCCGCTGAGCTCTTCGCTGGCCCGGAACATCCCGCGGCTGCAGGGTGGGGACATTCCGTTTGCTCCCCAGTCGTCTGGGGCTCTGCCATGCCTCCCCGCCAGTAAAGTCAGCATTCACCCCGTTGGAAGCGATTGTATCAGTTTTGTGGGGAGATATTCCGGGATTGTGTCAATAACCCGGTACTTCTCAAACCCCCGCACATCAGCCTTAGCTTCCATTAACAATTCCCACCTGAATCAGCCAGCACTCCGGTGGCTGCTAAGTGGGGATTTTATGACTCCATCGTTGCCTACTTGTTTTTATCAGTTTGGCATCTACTGTATGGAAGAGCTGTACTTTCTGTCCCATTTATTTATTCATTTTTTACATCAGTATGGATGCAGAGATTCCTGTTTTATTCAGTTGGTTATAACCTATTACTGTCATTATTTGTTTTGTTACTTGAATGATCCCACATTTGGCCAGTAGGATCCCCTTCAAGCTGACATGTGTGTCCTTTTGACATATCCCCACCATTTTTTTTTTAAACACTTTCTTTCTATCTTGTATTTTTTCTCATCCAGCCTAGAATCAGCTGTTTCTTCAAGGAGCCCTGGTTCCTTTCAGAAAATGGTATTTCAAAAGCCAAGATCTGGATGCACGCTGGGTGTGCTAGTTGCTGCTAGGCCCTATTCAGGGCAACACTGGGGAATACATGTATGTGTACATAGGTAGACACACACACACGTCTAAATATGTCCGTGCCTGTTCTGAGTGTGTAAGATGTATGGGTTCGTCTTGATCCTTCCAGCCCCAGTCCAGCTCCTCAGGCCCCTCCTCTCTTCCCCTTCCTGTTCCTGTGTTAGTGAGTGCCGTCCCCACCAGTGAGAGACTTGGCTCTTCATATCCTCAGTTTAGTTAGTTATTTGCTTAAATCACTTATTCGTCTGTATAACCACCCTCCCCAGCCCGCTCCCACTTACGTGTCCTGTGTCCTTGGGACGCCGTCAAGCTTCTGCCTCTGCATGGGAGGGGAGCTGGGGTGTAGCTGGACTCTCGGGGGAAAGCCTGCCGCAGCAGCTATTAGGTCGGACCTATCTAGAGCCTTCCTCCCCTGTCTGTGCGGCCAAGAGGAATTGGTGCCCTGGGCACCAGTGTCATCGGCCACCTTTCACACCCCTTTCCCCCTGATCTGCAGCCCTTCATGTATGGGGACTACATTGCCTATGACTGCTGGCTGGGGAAGGTCTACGACTTGAAGAACCAGATCATCCTCAAGCTGTCCAACGGTGCCAGGTGCGGATTTCACCATGGAGGAGCCATCATTCGGCAGGGGCAGCCCGTGAAGGAGGGCAGGGGGTGTTTTCTCGGTTCCTTGAGGGCCGTGCCAGGGGCTGCAGGCTTTCGGGGCCTCGAGTCTCAGGACCTGACCCTGGGCTGGTCTCCTTGTCATCCTGGCCTGATTCTCTGGCTCAGTTTCTGGTCTAGGCTGCACCCTGGCTTCAGGAGAGCTGCATTATCATTTAGGACACATGAGAGGTCCTGATGCTTTATTTTAGGCACTTTAATGGTGGTGAACGCTCAGATCTGGGGGTAGAGTCTTGTTTGTTTTAGGAGAGTTCCTTGTACCAGTGCAGGAGCTGAGGTGTGGGTGGAGGATGAATTGCCTATTTTGAGGGGGCGGACGTATTGACACCTCTGGACAAGCCCTTTAGATCCTGACCAGCACCACAGGGGGTCCTGGCTGCCTTGCCTCCCCTAAGACTCAGGCACTGTGTCAGGTGCCAACCAAGCCCCTGTGCCCTGTTGCAGGTGCTCCATGAACACAGAGGATGGTGCCAAGCTCTACGATGTCTGCCCGCACGTCAGCGACTCTGTACGTTGGCTCCACCCAAGGATCCTGGGGGCTGGGGGGCGGGGGGCCCCTCATCTCATGTTCCTCAGCCCCTGGGCTGTGCAGGAGGGACTTCTCAGCAGAGAGCCTGGAGCTGACCCAGGCTAACCGCTGCTTCTATGCCGTTGCTTTCCTAGAAAGGGGCGGTGTGTATCCAAAGGTATAGAAGTTTGGGTGTGGGCAGAAAGCAGTAGAACCTTTCTTTGCATTTTGTTGACTTTGTATCTCATCCTTTTTAAATCTCCTGTTTTCTTAGAGCGTATGCAGTATTTTACTACAATTGACATTTTAGAACAGTAGTACATGACGCAGTTTGTAAATAAGAATACTAGGGGAGTGTGTGTGATTAAGCAGGTTTGGGGACCCCTGTCCTCTGGAGCTTTAGTCCTTAAAGTGCCTCCCCTGCACCAGCAGCATTGTTGTGGCCTGAGAGCTTGGAAGCAGAATGGGTCAGACGTGCATTTCAGTAAGATCCCTGGTGATTTCTATGCACCTGAGGTTTGGGAGGTGCTGCTCTGGAGCCTTAGGGGCTGTGGAGCGCGGAGGTGCGGGGCCAGCAGGAGCCAGGCACAGAGCGGGGGGTGCGGGTATGGAGAGCACCCTCCCCTGAGGAGGCAGTGCTCACGGGGACTTCTCTCCGGCCCCCAATCCTGCAGGGTCTCTTCTTTGATGATTCCTACGGCTTCTACCCAGGCCAGGTGCTCATTGGCCCTGCCAAGATCTTCTCCAGTGTCCAGTGGCTGTCAGGGGTCAAGCCCGTGCTCAGCACCAAGAGCAAGTTCCGCGTGTTGGTCGAAGAGGTAGGGGGCGGGGCAGGACAGGGGCTGAGGCCCTGGATCTCCTGCCCGCCCTGCCTCACCTGGGGTGGGGCTGCTCTGAGGACCAAGGGAACCCGGGCCGAGCAAGGTGGGAGGGTGGTGAGTGGCAGGTCCTCTGGGCCCTGACTGGAGGTGAGGAGGCCGCAGTGAGTGCCCCCTGGGGTGGGCCTGTTCTGGGGGTGTCCAGACTTGGTGCTACACTGTGATGAGGACCTGCTTCCTGCTCTGGGGGCAGGTGGGCTCCGGACAGCTGCTTAAAGAGAGAGCGTTAGAGCCTGCTGACCGTGGCCCTGTCCCGCCCACCACCCCCAGGTGCAGGTTGTGGAGCTGAAGGTCACGTGGATTACCAAGAGCTTCTGTCCAGGGGGCACGGACAGCGTCAGCCCCCCGCCCTCTGTCATCACCCAGGAAAACCTAGGCAGGTGAGCGGCTCCAGTGCGCCACCCGCTCCAGCGCCCCCAGGGGCGGTCCCCAAGCAAGTCTCTGGGCCGTGGGCACGGGTGCGCGGGGCTGAGAACCCCCTGGCCCAGCCCCTGTCTCTCCTCCCTCCCCTCCCAGGGTGAAGCGTCTCGGATGCTTTGACCATGCTCAGCGGCAGCTCGGGGAGCGCTGTCTATATGTCTTCCCAGCCAAGGTAGAGCCGGCCAAGATTGCCTGTGAATGTCCAGAAAAACACTGCGCCCAGGGGGAGGGCTCTATGGCCAAGAAGGTATGTCCTCGGGGTTGGGGCTTGGCGGGCGTTTGAGGAACTGGCCTTGAGCCATTTCCACAGCAGGAAGGTCTGTGCTTTAGGCCTTGGGGGGCAGCCCTGATGACCCTTGCAGGCCAGTTAGGTGTGTACAGCTGTCACCCCTCAGACCGAGCTGCCTGGGGTCCGGCTGCGTCAGCTGGCTCTCCACAGCTCCCGCCCTCCCCATTCCTTCCCTGCAGGTGAAGCGCCTCCTCAAGAAGCAGGTTGTGAGGATCATGTCCTGCTCCCCGGACTCCCGGTGCTCCAGGGACCATGCCGTGGAGGACACAGGCAAGAAGGGGGCGGCCAAAGCCAAGAGCGAAGCAGGGTCCGCCAGCCCCGAGGAGACGCCTGATGGGTCTGCCAGCCCCGTGGAGATGCAGGACGAGGGCCCCGAGGAGGCCCACGAGGGGGGCGAGCAGCTG